TAAGAAACTATTTTAATCATTCTTGGATGTAAATCATGCAGTTTGGACAAATCTTATTTTTCTTCTTCATAAGTTTCAGCTTTCTAGACCTACCAAACAAATTGCCTTGTCCAATTGACGCATTGTTGCGGTAAACTAAAGTGACATTTTTGCTTTAAACTTTTTTTTCTGCAATCTACCCAGCAAAGTTGACATCTTTTATGCTCAGCATAATTCCATCAATAATTTTTTCTAAATTCTCAGCTAAGCTCTTTGACAATCATTGATAGAGTATTGGCGTAAGCTATCGGGAAGTAAAAGAGGAGAATCGGATAATACTTCAGTCGAGTCATCTTTACGCTGCTGTTCATTAAGCTATCAATTAACGTCTTGCAATGTTGCCACTTTATTAAGAGAAACATTATCATGACAAACCTACATCTATCGTGTTATGAAGCTGGCATATTTTAATGGAACTAATTTTATCGAGCAACGACACGTTTTCCGCGTTAGTCAAGTTATTTTTGAAATCTAGGGCAGTTATTTCCTTGGATCTAGAAATGGGTAGAAATGAAACGATTCCTATGAAATTACAACTTCAATTAGGTTTTTTTGCCCTCTCTTAGTGCAATAAAGCGGAAAGTCCGGGAACTCAATTCTTCAAATTATGGTCGTCCTCTGCTAAAAGTTTCCTGTGTTTAATCTTAGTGATAAGTTCACTAATCAATTTACGAGTACCCAAGACTCGGCTCTGCCGTAAACTTTGTCAAGCCCTTCCCAACAATAAGTGAAAGGGGTTTATTTCAAAAGCGATTTCTCTTGATAAAAATTTTCAACTCCCCTCGAAAGTAGCCTGAGGTTGCTAATAAACGTTACTTAACTTCCCGCGGAAAAAATATACCTCCTGGGTTGCTTTTGTGACGTTTTCACTGAGAATTATTCGACTTTTTCTCTTTTTTTATCAGCGCTCAACTATCGCTTTATTGTTATTATTATTATTTTTTCTCTTACCAACGTGTACGTAGCATATGGACATGAGCATCTGAATGCACTCTAATTTCACGAAAAATTCGGGTGAAGATATGTCTGCGAGTATTAAAACTAGAAAAGTACATATCTAAATGTTATGTATTTCAAAATTGTCTTTCTTGCAGTGGTTTTTATCAAACAGAACCTACTACTATTAAAAAGATGTTTAAGAAAAAGAAAACAAAATTAGGAAGAATAAGAAAATATTAGGTTAAGTTACTAAACAAAAAAATTGAAAGTGTGAAGTGCTGAAAATGATTTGAAGTCTACAAACGGAGATGCGTATCTTCTCTAGTTATATTATCAATGTAGAGGAAGAGAGGCAGAGAAGTGACAATTGGATTAAATTTTGCAATAAAGAATTACAATTTTTGGCTCATTGTAAGAAACAACATATATCAACGGTGCAAGTCGGCAATCACATAACTCGGTGGCGACGTCGCAGACTTCCTGTCATACTTTATCTTTTAAACGGAAAATTACTCAACGGCAATCCTTTAAAACTGCCGTAATTTTTCTTCTCCGTGCGAAGAAAATTCTGCAAAACCTTCAAGGAATGATGTCAATTAGTTCTTCTTTAAAAAAATAACATAGAGGCGGAGATTTTCAGACACCGCAAACGAGATGTGTGATTGCCGACTTACACCGTCGATATGCCATTGGTTTCACTATGTAGAAAGGTGCTTTTATGGAAGAGCCAGAGATGGTGATTCCTTATTGCAAAATGTAATCCAATTAATCAACATTATCCTAAATTCATGCCCTAACGAAAAGAGGGTTTGCTGCGTTTATGTAGTGTCACGTTCCATGTTTTGAAATGTTGTTTATTTTGTTGGACTCGATGGAACAGCTTCAAGTAGAACCTGTTGCTCTTTGTTGAATAACATTGACAACTTGAATTGCACTCTTGAAGTCGATTCTACGGTGAAACTTGTCGCGCGATATGTTGTGAATTGCTCGCGGTTATATTTCTAGCAGCTTTAGGGAAATAATGCATGGAAAAACTTGTAATTTTAATGGCAAACTCGGAGAAAAATTAAATGATTAACCTCGTAGAAAAGGAAGCAGAGAGCGCCTTGTTTTTAAAAAGTTTGAAAGCATAGAACAAACAAAATTACACAAAATACCTTTTAAGTTCTTTTATGACGTCTTTGTAGTGAGTATATGACACCAGTAACGCACTATACTTAAAAATAAAGTGCAAACTCGCTAAAAGAAAGTAGCCATCATCCGAATTCTTTAAAGTTATCACTCATAATGGACAAAGAGGTAGCAAGAAAAAAACATTCTTGAAATTTTTTTTGTTTTAATTATTATGTAATAAGTACAGAGTTTATATTTGTGAACGTTCACAAGAAAGAGTACCCTTGTTTTCGGATTGAAATATGCAAGAAATGGTTTCTCGTCAAGCTAGGTACAAAAATCTATACTTAAAGTTGTCACGAAATAGTTTTACTCGAAAGTGGTATCAATACCTCAATTCTGAGTTTTACGGTCACCACTCATTGATTTTTCTTAATTCATATTTTTGAGTTCATTGACCTTCAGTAAGAATTAAAAATTAGTACAAACACTACAATGAAATGTATAATTTTGTTTAACCCCCCTACTTATCACTAATTCATCTTCAGGGTTGGTGTTGAAGAGCCAATATATACACAAAAGTTCACGCGATGTAAACATTTCAAAATACATGGTTTTTCATAGGATTTTGAAGCTATAATACTGCAGTTGTGTAGTAGTACATCAACTGTATTTAGCTCCAGGGCATCTATTGGCTATGAGGCACCGAAAGGAAGTTTTAACTTAAGTTTGAGTTAAATCACGGGAGTAAGAGGACAGTGTAAATTTCATTTTGGAATGTCAGGAATAGAAAATAAACGTATGTATACTTTACGCCAAAAATAAAAACAATTAATGAATAAATAAAATAATATAGAAACCGCCAAATTTACACGTACCCCGGTTTCGATTTTTCCCGCCTTTCCGTAAAAATCCACTCAAAGTCCGACCTTTGCACGGCATTAGCTAAAGAATGCAAGGCGCGGAGAGTGGGGTACTTAATTTACCCCGATGAAATGAAATCAACACGCGGATATTGACACGACCCCACTCTATTTACCCCCGACGTTCGACTTTTGTCGGCGAGTTTGACGGGTTGAAAACGCATTTTCTGAGAGTGGCAACACACGTCGGTGTCTGTCGCGGGCTGAAAAAAAGCGCGCCAAACTCGCGGGGGAGGTGGGGGGGGGGGCGGGCTCGGGGGGCAAAGGTCGGGCCGCTCAAAAATGGGAAATCCATTTAGTGGATGGGAAATTTGATTGGCGCTGATCATTTGTCAGTCGTCGACAGGCCGGCGGTAATTTATATTTCGTGTTTGCACAGTCAAAGCAAACATGTTGGTCAAATTAGACAGGCCACGACCCCGTGCCCCCTGCGCTGTGCCCACCACCGCGAGCATCAATCTGACTGAAAAGTGAAAAGTGAACTTTCAGAGGTCGCTCCCCGCTTGCATCGCATCGCGGCCGGTGATTGGATTTGAATGGTAATTTCAATATTTACAGTTCGTCACACGCTGTTGGTTTTATCCCACCTGCCACTCCGCCCGGCCGACCAGCCCGGATGTCTTCACTCTCCTAGATTAAATCGTGACAACGATTTTTCAACATCGCTAAAAGCTCACCCCTTCCCAGGATATAATTCTAAAATAATTTTATGTACATACCTTTTTCTTAAAACAATATTTTTGGTATGATTGAGATTTTTTCAAGGGCTGCTTACCCGCAGGGGCTTCAATCAAGCCTGAGTACTAATGGGATAAGTTTGATGCTCCGCAGCCCCTGACAAGATATAATAACAATTGAAACAGCCAACAAGGCTAATTTTTACATAAATACCACTCACTCAAACGTTTTGGCTGAAAATTCAGCCTTCCCTTCCTCAGTTGGATAAAAACAGTAAAAAATTTGAAAAATCTAAAAACTCAGTACTTGGCTGTACCTTTCAAAGCGAGAAAAATGTTATCACAACGAGTACGAGTGTTCATATCACCTGAGTGCTAACGCCACTGAAAGGTTCCATGATTTTTCTGCAAAACGTTCGACGGAAAATGTTTCTGCAGATTCATTGCCAATATCACTCAGCTAATCATTGCCGATAACGTTTCCTCAAAATGCACTATTGGGCAACGTTGTAAAATATCCAAATTCTGAGGTTTGTTATGGTCAACGCAAGTATACCCGCAACATGCATGTCGCTTAAACACACATATTTTCACGTCAGGCGTTGCTAATAAGGAAACCAGCGCGCCTACAATTTAAAGTGTATGTAACACGGAGGTCCATCGAACACGAATAGTTGTATCCCAGCGCCTTCAATTTTCTTGCTTATTACGACGGGCTATGCATGTTACGGCATTTTATTGCGTGTGACAGATACATTTGGCCAGTTTCTCGACTGGCCGCAGGGTGTATGAGATATTGTTTTTTTTTACCGACTCGCAGTTAGGATTTTTATAGCAAAATTACGTCATGCTCGATGCTTGGAAATTTTTGAGTATGTGCCTATTTTTGCTGTCATATGTCTCCTCCAATTCCGTTCAGAATTGATTTTATCAGCAAGATTTAATTCTTCATTAATTTTAATTGGACGTATTTATGCTGAAAGGAACTATGAGCATACGGCTTGTGTGCAACATAGTTCCCTTTAGCGTAAACATGTCCAATTATCTTATCAAATTTGTTTGAGAGTACGCGCAAAACACTGTATCAATCACTTCGTATCCGTGATTTATGTGTAAGACAGCCGAAAGAGAAATTTGCGGAAAAGTTATCGAAAGGGATGCGCAAAGTTAACATATGCAAAAATGGGGTGAAGGCATGTTTAACATTGTTTATCTTCCATTTTCGGAAAGTAGACTAAGTCACTCCTTTTGTTACAGTTTTGAAATAAGAAGCGGAACCAAACATCAATGTGTGTTTCTGCTTTTTCAGATTCTCCGCAGTTTGTTGAACCTATCGCCAACATCACTGTGCCAGTAGGTCGAGAGGCTGTTCTTGCCTGCGTTGTCAAAGGATTAGAGACCTATAAGGTAACCAATTCTGTTTTTTCTTTCATTTGTGTTTTAAACCTTTTTATTGCCTTACAAACTCTCCAATCGTTTTCTACGGCTATCTAAATGCCACTAACACCATTGGTGTCGAGTATTTTTTACGGAAATCATCATCCATTCATTAAAACTTGATTATTATATTTTACTTTTTGTAAAGCAGATATTTATTTTTTGGAGTCTTTTAGGACCAAAGGATCCCCAAAGAAAACAAAAGAGGGACTCTCAACACATGTTTCAAAAGTATAGTAACCTATGTATACGGGTGTGAAGTATGGCGGATGAAACAGCGAACCCAGGAAGTTTTAAAGGCAATAGAGATGGCCTTCTGGTGTAAATCCACTGATATTTCTAGAAAGAATCTCTTCAGAAATGAGACCGTGCAGAAAAATTTATATGGTATGCTCATGTCCAGAGAATGCTACAGGTTGCCGAAGAAGGTTCCAGGTTGTGTTCTTCCTGAGAGAAGGCGCAAATGGCGCCTATTAAGAGGGTGGATGGATGGGATCAAAATAGAAAAGTCAAGATTCTCTATCTCCGAAGGGTTTTGGTTCGATTGGGGAGGGGGGGGGGTTTGGTTAGGTGTCGGAGCAACATTTATTTATACAGATTTTTGATGCCCTTTTGCGTGCAGTCAAAATACGTTTTCCAGGAGGATAAGGTTTCAAATACTGATTACTCTCCTTTTTCCAAATCCGATTTAAACATCCCTCGTATTTACGATGCAACCGCCTTAAACGAAGAGAGCGTGCCCGGGACGACAGTGAATACAACCTTAATAGATGATCAACGTCATCGGGTGTTGCGCAAACAAGCGAAGTTCAAATGACAGCAACCAGAGCGCGCGAGGAATCGGAAAAGCCACCTCGCTTTCCCCGAAACCGAATTACGAGCGCGACACTCAAGGCGTGTGTTCGGGGTTGATGTCAAATTACAATTGCCCCTGTCAAACCAGGCTTTTCACACCCATTTTCCGTTTGTAAATAAAACTCGCGAAACGGATAATTAGTAGCGCGCAACATAAATTACATAAAAGAAGCGTAAATCAGTCTCGAGCTCCACCCGAAATTGAATTACGATGCCGCTGTGCCAGTGAGGAAAAGATGGCGCGACCTTGCCGAGTTTCCGACGAAATTCTGCGTGATTGTAGTCGTGCCATATGGGGGAATTGTTATGGCTAAATGTCAATTGGCAACATCGCGATGATGCAAGTTGGTGGCCGGGAAAGTGCAGCGTAGCGCTTTCAAAATAAGAGGAATTCCCCAAACCGCAATCCTCCGTGTCACGAAGAAAACCAAAACGCCTGCAATTTATCGTGCAGGCAACACGGACATCCCTTGAACACGAATAGTTGCATCCTGGCGCCTTCAATTTTTTCTGTTACTTACAGCGGGCTATGTTACGGCATTTAATTGTACGTCACGAAATATCATCGATGTCGCCAGTTTTTTGATTAACCAAGGTGTTACCAACCAGGGGTATTAGCCAGAATGTGTAACATCTTCTATGCTACAAAGATAGTCCACGGAACTTTTTAAAAGTTTCGCAATTCTCCGTGCGAAAATCAAATGCAGATCTTAATTTGAGTCGTTTTTTGAGGAAAATGAGTTTGAATTTTCTGTTAGAGGGACGTTTCAAGGTAAAGACGTCAAACTTTCCAAATTGAATCGCTCTAAATGAGGAATTTTAAATTTGAAATGTAACTTCACTTTTAACAAATCAAGTGCGTTTTTTTATTATAGATCTACTCCTTTTAAACTTGACCAATTCACGGTCAATAAATGGCTGAAAATGGATTTTTACTGTCGGCTCACTTCAAACTTTTAATTATATTCTTTTTAAAAAAATAATATATTCATAAATAAAAAATCAAATATGGAGCTTTCTCTACCGTCGCCGCGTTATATTATGTGGTTGTTTCTGAACTGCTTGAAGACTACTCGTATTAAAAAGAAAAGTAAATGATAAAGCTAAACGACTCGTGTGAGAGAAAGCAACTATTTGTGTCCCATTGCAGCCCTTGTTGCACAAGCAAAAAGCAAAAACTTTAAACTTTGAAAATACACTTCATCAAGGATATTAGAAGTTTAAAATGGGATAACAAGAATAAAGTCAAGATACTACAACAGGAATTTTTTCATGACAATAAGAATTGCATACCATGTACTTCTATAAAAAAAAAAAAAAATTATACAAATTTGCAATAATTTTTTTAAAGTATCTTACATGATTTTCTTACGTATAAGTTGATGAATGATACTTTATAAATGATAATTGACGAATTCGCGAAGAAATTTAGTTCCTTTTGAGTATTTTCCATCCACAATATTTTCACGAGAGGAATACTTCAATCTTTCTTAAACTATGTGCATACAAATTAGTTTAAAGTGAGCCTTCTAAAACCTAACCATTGTAATTGAAGAGACTCTGTCCGCTTTGAGTTGCAATTTTCTTGATAAACTATCGAAAAAAAGGAGAAACAAAACGGAAGTGTTCCCTAGAGTTCCTTTATACTGAGAGTCAAGACAACACCCCCGCATGGAGTCACAAACGGGAATAAAGAATACAGAAATTGAACGTTTTTCGTAATCTTTGATCGGCCCATTCTCAAATTCCTTTCCCTGTTCCTTCTCTCATTCCGTTCGTTTCTTGCCGAACCCGTAATTCCCTGGTCCATTCCAGATTATAATCTTTGCAATCGGCGATAACGTAATCTTTATTCCCGTTTGTGACACTGTGAAGGCCTAAAATACGGGAACCAATCAGAAATTGATTCACATCGTCTTGACTCTCAGTATAAAGAGACTCTAGTGTTCCCCAATTTCCGAATGAATTCCCGCAGACTAGTATATGGCAACAGCGCATGGGACCAAGGGACCAGAAAGAGGGCGCGGGGCGAAGTCGAAAGCGGGAGGGGGGCGTGAGACGCGGAGGTGCACACATGCATTCACTTAGTTAGGTCTCCGTATAATTTATCTTAACTTGTTCGCAACTTTGCCGCCAAATAAAATCCCGGGAAAAATAATACGGTGTCCCTGGCTGCTGGAAGCGCGAGGAGCCCCTTCACTCTCTCCGCTCGGCTCCTCAGCATTCCGCCGATGCACTCCGCTCATTTTCACTGGCTCGGATGTTTTGATTTTCGTCAAATTTGTTTTCCGTTCGGGATTTTTCCGCCCCCCGCCCCCGCCCCCCGCCCCCCCCGCCCCCGCGACAATGAGAAACGTGCGAGTTGGGTGCCGCAATAAATCAGCCCGCGGAATAATTGAACTCCCGCTAGCTCCGCGGCAGTCGCCCAGTTCAGGTGTGTTCTTTGCTCCACGCATCATGCGCTTTATGATAGTGGCTGAACCGGTAAATTATGTTCTCCTCACTTCCACCTCTCCGTATTTTTCTCACATCTAGAGAGACCGCGCAAATGATTATATCCTCGATTTTTTTTCAACAGATCAGAGAATTATCTAGATGTACTCGATGTTTACCGCGTATCTGAGAGGTGCCACCCCTGAGCGAGTTAGGTTACGCCGTGATTTGTCACCGTCTAAAAGGGGCTTGTGGCGGGAAATATAAAATACGAGTTTATCCTGTTTGTATGATTCTGTGCTCCCATCTTACGATTTCAGAAGGAAGTATTTACTCGGTCTTTTGCAGTAAATTATGCTAGACAGATTCTTATTATTTCTTTTTGTGGGTATCTAATATGATTGTCATCTCGACGTGTTAAAATGTGTCGAGAGGCTGGAATTGCTACTTGTTAATTCTTTCGTATTTCATATTTTTTTCAAAACCAAGCAATGGCTGTGCAATAACTGAATTTAACGTATTAAATCTGAAAAGATCTGAAATGCTCTGTACCTTGATTGAAAGTTATGCATCTTCAAGGTGACGAAAAGCATCTTCAATCATAGGGTAATCTCACCAATTAATAAATACATAAATAAAGGAGAAGTTAAAAAAGGTTCCTTAAGAAATTGAATGAATTGAACCAAAGGCAGATCTAGGGGGTAGGGACTCCAGTGCGCCCCCCTCCCCGCAATCTCCCCAGAATACCATCAGGTCTTCTTCTAAAAATGTAAGGCATTTTATAAAACAACTTTGTGATGTTTCTACCATATTTGAAATTGTATTTCAATGAATGGTTTCGGTAATAATACTAAAATTGCTCTTGGGACGTTCCGATTTTAAAATTTTTCCAGAGAAACGCTTTGGATGCTCTCTTTGGAACCCACTAAGAAAGAATTTCTAGTTTCGTCCAATAGTTTAATGCTTTTAGAAATTTTCACTGTGTTATATTAGCCTCTTTTTTTGGTACAGCAAGAAAGTTACAAAAAAAAAAAAAAAAAACCCACTCAGCGTTGAAGGTTTTTCTGAATAATGGTAACACTGAGAGCAGTATATATTTTTGAATACACATAAATACCTCTTGGATTTTGAAATATACAGTTATTTATGACATTCCACAGTACCCATCACATTTTAATTTCAAGTATAAGGGACTTATTGATAAGAACATTATTACTTCTCAAGACTTTTGGAGATTCTTGAGCACTCTTTTCTAGAATATTCTACGTAAATTTATAAGTAAAACCACGCTGATTTTTACTATTTTAAATAAAATTGGTTATCGATTTTACTATTAGTTTCAAAACTTAAGTCCATATAAGCTCTTTGAATTTGAGTGTTGAATTGCAAGGAAAAAATTTGAAATGGACCCAGAGAATTGTACTTCCCAGTGCCAAACGAACTTTGTCTTTTGTAGTGCACTCTTATGCACATGCAAACTTCAATCAATGACTAAATGATAACTGCACCACCACAGGAAGAAAAACTAACCACTATCAACCTCTTTTCACGGATCTTCGCAGAATCAAAACTTCAGCAACCGAAAACGGAGCTCAAAGGGCGAAACGATGACGACAGCATTATTACCAACAAAGCCACTGTGTCACGTAGCTGATAAAAAGATAACTCGATATAGGGCTGAG